GTCTTATTTCTTTCTTTCTTTCTTTCTCTTTTTTTTTTTTTTTTCTAAGATTCATTGCGTCAGAAATTGATACACTATTGACTCTTAACTCTTTCGACTCGGCTTTTTTCCGTTTCATTTTTATTTCCTTATCATTTTATTTTATTTTAGAAATTGAGAATACTTGAGAGATGTATATCAAATATAAAATTTGATTTTGATTTTAAATGTAAAAATTTAAAAATTAGGATGTGCACGTGTCTCAATAATTTTTTTTAAACGAGACATATATATATATGTGAAGAACATAGAAGTATTTTGAATAATAAAAAAATAAGATTAATTTAAATTAATAATATATTATATTAGAAACTGAAAGATTAAGATAAAAAATCTTTCAATTATGCAATAGAAAATTTTCTTGAGATTTCTGTTGCTATTAATCTGAAATCACACACGTTTGTCTAGATAAAAATGTATGATTATCCAGTGGAAATGATGAATGTTCCCATTACCAATCAATGACAGTAATATATGCATAATAATAGATTGTAGAAGTACAAAATACTACACGTACGAGTTAGATTAAGAATCATAAATATTCACAGAGACGTATGTGTCCCATAAAAATCAGAAGTATTAATAAACGTGTTGAATGATCGATTTATATTACATCTATGAAATTTAATTTGATTTAAAGAATAAGAAGAGAAAGAATTTTAATACTCATTTTGGCGATATCGAATTTTTTAATTTACCAAGAGAAATGAGAATATTGCACCATTTTTTTTTTTTATCAATTAATATACACACATACGAACGATTTTTTTGTTATTCGAATATTAATATAATAGTTAAAACTTATTTTGAATAGATGTATATTTTTTATATATTCAATAATATTACCTCAAATAATTTAATATTAATACATAATTATGCAATAATAATTATTTATTTTACTTATAATAACCATAATTCTGTTAACTATTTCTAATGTAAATTTATTAAAATGAAATTAATAATCAATAAATTCAATTTTTCTTTAATTAATGATTAAATTATTAATTCCACAGATTATTACACAAATTTCGGCAAATATTATATTTTCAGAAATAGATTCATTAAAATCATAAAAGGATCATTACTTTCTCATTTTTAAATTTTATTTAATTAAAAATAATATTCATAAATTGGCAGATAATAACATTGAAATATATTATTTTTTTAAAAATTTTGAAATATATAATATATACTCAATATATCTTATGAAATCACGTGTCAATTAAATAAATATTAATTATATCTATAAATATATATCAAAATCCTTTAAGATATTAAGATATATTTTCTATTTTTATAAAAAAGAAGTCATCTTTATTATTCTTGAATTTAAATATATTTTTTTTTTAAATTTAAACATCTTTTACATTCGTTTTCATGTATTAATTTTCTTATATTTTTCAACTAACGATAGTATAATACTACTAATAATGATAGTAATAATTATTTCATTTCTATCAATTATAATTCCGCCAAACGCATCAGAAGTGTTTGAATAATCTCGATGCGGTTACACGAGTACACGTTTATTTCTTGTGTCTGTTATAATTGGTACTGATAATAATAACAGTGCCTATTTTACCTTGATCGACAATGCTTCTATTATCTATATTAAAAATCGATACATCGTTATCACTTGAATACTTAATGAACGTGTATGTTATAATTAACAAGCACAAATGATTTCTGAATATGTATTTGCTAACTGTTTGCCCATTCTCGATTAAAATGATCGATTCAATTCGCAAAATGGTCCAATCCCAGCATTCGAGTATCGTCGAGCATTTTTGCGGCTACTTGGACCCCTTGTATTTACTAATAACAACCACACGTAACAACGATAGTAATAATATTGATTATATTATATTGTAATTGACAATACCGGCTGTATGATACAGATCAATAATCAGAAAAGAGAAAGAATAATCAAATTCAATGTTTATACACTTTTATTCACAAATTTTCAGATAATTATTACATTGAATATGATATTAGAAATTGTTGAGTAATTATTAAAAAATTGAAAAAGTATATATTAGAGAAATATTATTTTTAATTTGATTTATTATTATTAAAATAATTTAATATATTTAATTTCATTAATTGTTTCATGCAATTTAAAGTTTATAATTTATAACGTATTTTAAACTTTTGTTTAACTCTTCAATCCCAAACTTTGGACATCTTAACGTAACTACGTAAAGATCAAACGGAGTTACGTTAGAATCCTTCACTAGGATTTTCTTATTATTAATATAATTTAACATTTTGTTTGAATCCAATATATTTAGAATCTAGAATATTAAGATCAATAACGAATAATTTTATTAAATATTTTTCAATATTAAAACAATTTATTCTTTATTTAGAGAAAGAGAAGATTTATTCTCTCAATTTATTCTCTATATATAGATAGAAGAATTAAAAAATAAAAAATTCGTAAAAAACGAAGTTATTGTAAGATATTTAATTTATATTATATTTAATATACAAATTACCTTGTTGGAGAGCCTATGAATTGAGATAGAGAGTCTTAGAGATATTCTAAGACTTTTGAAGAAGAATATAAATTATTATTACTATTGTAATTTCATACGATGGAAATAATAATTTCTAATTCAAACGAGGATTTATTATTCTTTCTATTTATCACACGTCACTTAATGCTCATAGAACGGAGCATAGAGCGGAAGTGAAGGTTTCAAAGTATTTCCAGGAAGAATTGCTAATCGTATTCCCTTCAATCTCATTACATGTAATAAGCGTTAATTATTTTTAACGAGATGTAAACGAGTCTCTCGTTATAATTCAACTCTTTGATTGCAACGGATACGATAAATTTTTTTTTTTCTTTTCATTTATTTATTTTTCCTCGAGCAAAAATACAAAACATCGGAGGTGGATTTTTTAAAAGGAAAAAGTTGAAATTCAATGGGAAAAAAAAAGAAATTGGTGAGTGAAAACGGTCGAGGCACCTCTCCTTGGAGCGAATTAAACGAAAAATCAAATATATCCAAACCTAAGGAAGGTAAAATGAACACGCTTTCCCCTATTTCTCAATCGTTTCTCTCGAATACAAAACATCATAGACGAAAGAAGAAAAAAGGAAATATCGTGATCTACTGTTTTCCTTTCTGATTATATTGCTATATTTAAGATTATTTTTAAGGTTTCAATTGCCTTAATTTAAGTAAAAATCGGTAAATAAAGCGAATTAATAAAATTCATAAAATTATTTTTTATGGCATATATAAATAAATTTCACTTAAAGGAATTTTTCTATCAAGATCCATTAATTCCAAATTCCGATTTTTTTTACGAAGAAAAAATAAAGTTGAAATCATCGATTTGAATCCACAAAACTGATATAACTGACTTTAAATTGCGAAAAGAAAATAAAAGTGATCAACGTCGCCATCTACTATATGGATGATTAATGGAAATGGAATAATAAATATCACAATAGAAAAAGAATTGCATCTTTTTTTACGATGATGATGATAAGATAGCAAAAGAAAAATCTATAATTGAAAAAAAAAAGAATAGAAAATTGTGATTGAAATTGTTCGTAATTTTAGGCGAGCTTTATTATACCAAATTGTTTCGTTCATTATACCGGAATTCCGTTGGAATTGCGAGTTAATTAATACTAATTCGGGGTTGATTCGCGAAAATTCTCGCTTAATTGTACAAAGAGCTTTGCTACTTTCGGCATAATGAATTTTCCGGTTTCGCAAAAAATGGCTACGATCTCGATGTCTAGTAAATGAGTTTTTATTTAAAAAAATATCTCCGTCGTCTCCGACGTCTGGCTATTTAAATAATGCTCCTCCTGTGAAAATGGATATTAGGTCGTATACTGTGGCGCTGCTGTCGCACTATCTTCCGGTCTGATTTCCGTTTTTGAATATTTCCTCGTGTTTCTCTGGTCGAAATGGGTAATAGGAATTTCTCGAATAAATATCTTTAAATTTTTGATATTTTTTTTCTTCCTTTCTTCATCTTATGTTATTTTTTCGACCGTAGAAATAGAATTCGTCATTCGTGAAATATGAAAGATAATGAATTTGAAATCAAAATTGCCAGCCTGTTGGACTTGGTTTAAAAAAAGAAAATTAAGATTTTCAATTGCCTTCAATATTTTCTGTTAATTAGAAAAACTGTTTCCAATTTTAGTATTTTCAAACAGTATTTCTTCATTTTTAAATGGTCAATTTTGAGAGATCAAATTTATTTTATATTATGAATTGAAATATTTAAATCAATAAAAATTTTGATAATAAACAACAATCATAATATTATATAAAAATTACATATTTATAAACATTATATAATATAATTATAATTATATTTAAATCAAATTTCTTATAAGTCACAGACAGATTCTTAAATATTTTTCATTCATAAAATAAATATCACATTAAACATAAAACAAAAAAACATTTCAACAAAAATCATAATAATCCAAAATCATAATAACATTAAAGGTAACAAAAATTCTTCTTCCAATAAAAGATAAAAGCGAAATAAAAAAAAATATCGATACTATAAATCTCGCACGATCGAAGATGTGCGAAGAGTTAAAAAAAAAAAAAACGGAAACCCACTTTCACGATCAAACTTCCAATCCAAAAGCGTCGCTTTCAATATCGACGAGTCACATCCCTCATCGCTCAACCCCACACTTCAGTTTCGAAACAACCATCCCCACAGCTTTGTGTCTCCCAATCCATTCACGCTAACCTATCCACAAAAAAACGCCAACACGAGAAGATACGCGCTTAGAACAACGCTCGATCTCGGGTCGGGACGGAACAAAGGCGAAACTGGAGCAGATCCCGGTCCCGTTGGCGGAATCGCGAAAGCGATTATCAACGCTATACCTATATACGCGGAAGAATTAACAACGATACTCCCGCGCGAGCACTCGAGGCC